TAACATATACGTTACATGTAACATGCTTAAGTATATAACATTTATATACTGTGTTTGCTGGGTTTATATAAATTCTCAAAAATAAACAAATTATTAATTTCAATATAATTTGAGTAGTTTCACAATATTGGGCTAGAATATTATTTCATCTAATTTACTTAAATATGATTAAAGATCTGAACGTATAAATGTAACATACTTGGTTTAATTTATAACATGAATAAAGTTCTTATTGCCTATCTTATATATGTTAAATTTATATTTATATATTACAGAGCCTAGTTAAAACTCTTAATTTATACACGCTGGCTTAAAGGCGTTTATTTACCAACATTAATATATATAACAGAGAAAAGTATAGAATCGAAAGGATCTGAATAGCTCAGTTGGAAGAGCAGTCGCCCGGCAAGCGAAAGGTCTCGGGTTCGATTCCCGATTCTGCGACTTTCGGATCTATATTTTTCTCTCGCACTTTATTTCTTTAGGGGGAATAGGGGATACATGGAATTAAAAATCTCTTGTAGAGATTATTCCAATTTTATATCTTGGCCGTGTCCAAGTAAAAATTTGGTGCCTTGTGCACAGGTATTTAATTCTAACGAAAAAATTTAGTTTCGTTTAGAATAACGCACTGTCATCCGCGATTTGGCTCTTATTGCCTATCTTATATATGTTAAATTTATATTTATATATTACAGAGCCTAGTTAAAACTCTTAATTTATACACGCTGGCTTAAAGGCGTTTATTTACCAACATTAATATATATAACAGAGAAAAGTATAGAATCGAAAGGATCTGAATAGCTCAGTTGGAAGAGCAGTCGCCCGGCAAGCGAAAGGTCTCGGGTTCGATTCCCGATTCTGCGACTTTCGGATCTATATTTTTCTCTCGCACTTTATTTCTTTAGGGGGAATAGGGGATACATGGAATTAAAAATCTCTTGTAGAGATTATTCCAATTTTATATCTTGGCCGTGTCCAAGTAAAAATTTGGTGCCTTGTGCACAGGTATTTAATTCTAACGAAAAAATTTAGTTTCGTTTAGAATAACGCACTGTCATCCGCGATTTGGCTCTTATTGCCTATCTTATATATGTTAAATTTATATTTATATATTACAGAGCCTAGTTAAAACTCTTAATTTATACACGCTGGCTTAAAGGCGTTTATTTACCAACATTAATATATATAACAGAGAAAAGTATAGAATCGAAAGGATCTGAATAGCTCAGTTGGAAGAGCAGTCGCCCGGCAAGCGAAAGGTCTCGGGTTCGATTCCCGATTCTGCGACTTTCGGATCTATATTTTTCTCTCGCACTTTATTTCTTTAGGGGGAATAGGGGATACATGGAATTAAAAATCTCTTGTAGAGATTATTCCAATTTTATATCTTGGCCGTGTCCAAGTAAAAATTTGGTGCCTTGTGCACAGGTATTTAATTCTAACGAAAAAATTTAGTTTCGTTTAGAATAACGCACTGTCATCCGCGATTTGGCTCTTATTGCCTATCTTATATATGTTAAATTTATATTTATATATTACAGAGCCTAGTTAAAACTCTTAATGAATAAAGTTCTCAAAGAGTAAATGCTATATATATGAATCAAGTATGGGTAAAGATATCTTAGCATAATAAATAAGTTAATATACAAGAGAAAAGTAAAGGAGGTTCGACTTGAACAGAGACGACCAGTATTTTACTCCTATCCATACCCTTGTTCGGATAAAATTAAGACAATTGCAGAAATGGCGCTCTGACATAGAGAATGTCGTAACTGCTTTTTAAGAATATATCGTAGCTATCCTTTGAAATTCGTAGCTCTCAATATCGATTAGCAATTTGATTGATAACGGTAAGATGTTACACTCAGGATAACATTTGTAAGATGATCTTGTAAATGCCCTCGAGAAAACTCACAAATTAACTCAAGAAAAAAATACAAAAGAATGAAAAAACGTCTCTAAAATTCAGGAAAATAAACAAAATAAAAAAAGACAAGTATTGCTAGCTCCCTTCTGTCGCGGGCCTCGTGCAGTCAATGTATTTGATGCTTAATTCATTGCGCGCTCGACATCCACAATATCAATCATTCCCAAAACAAAAAGTATTGTAATTTTAAAAGAATATTCTCATCCCCTTTTAATTTTTCATTTTCTTTCTTTACGAATGGTGTACAAACTGGTAAATCGACTGGTAAATCATTGTGGCCTACTTATAGAACCATCAATGAACTTCCATTTAAAGACCGCAGTAGATATATGTTTAATGATAAATAATTCACGATAGACCGTTGATATGACGCAATTTTTGAGCAGTTAAAAATCGTCATTAAAGGAATTTTATAATAATTTTATAGATGACGAGATTATTTAGTAAAAATCTAACAACTGGTCCATTTTGCCCCGCGAAGCACCTTATCCCACCTATACCTATATATTATATATGTATATATATATATATATATATATATATATATATATATATACATGTAAATATATATATATATATATATATATATATATTTATACTATACATATTTATATGTTAATGTCACAGGAAATGGCTAACAATATGCTTAACGCGAAAATTCCGTTCAATTGGATGAAAGCATGTGCCTATCCTAGTTTGAAACGACTGCCAAGTTTTATCAATGATCTCATAAAAAGACTTGAGATGCTACAAAGTTGGTTAGATCATGGACAGCCAGCGTCATTTTGGATATCTGGATTTTCGTTTGCGCACGCATTTCTCACTGCAATTGCTCAGAATTATGCCAGAAAATACAAGATACCAATCGACAAAATCGACTTTGACTTCGAGGTATGTCAAACTGCTCGTAATAGCAAATATATATCAGATTTTTTATAGAGTCTCTATAATTTTGTATTAATGTAATTTATTTTATTATAGTACATATAATATTTATATCCAAAATCCGCAATAAAAAATATCACGTTCCATTTAAAAAAAATCATCCCGATTTTAATTACCAATTTCCGGCCTAACGCGGAAGTTGAAAATATAATCATTCGATTGAATGTATCCGATTTATAAAAAAATAAATATTTCGTTTCTTTTGGAATAACCACTTTTCTAATTTTTAAGTAGATGGCACACTCTGGGACTACCTACATTATATACAAAGTGTAAATAGGTAATTTGCAAACCACTTCTTGTGTGCATGTATAGCGTATTAATTAAATCGAGTGGAAAAGTTTTGTACCATTTTGCGATTTTCGCAAGAAATAATAAGAAATAAATTTAAAAAGATCGGCCAATCCGCATAATTGCAAGTGCACGGCGAGAAAAGACAGTTTGATCTTATGTGGTTACTATTTTAAGCACGCACAGGGCTTCTATCTGTTCATATTCGGAAATCTTAACATTTATTTCGATCTCTTAGTGTTTATTGAACTGTTAAAACACTATTCTGTGCTTTTAACTGCTTCTATTATCTACATTACATGGCCCATTTCCGCCCTATTAACTGTTTTATCTTGTGACTGGCATTTGTTTTTTTGACAAATAGTATATCTATTCAAGAAAAGCTTTTCTCTCAGGCCTGATAAGTAGTGCATTTAAATGCAAACATCGCTGCATCCACAACTACTTAGTAAAGTTAGACGAGGATAGACTTGATTCTATCGCGATTTTCTTCTTTCCTTTCCCTCCTTATTCCAATGACAGTATAAACTTAAAATCAAATTCAAATTATAATACTATATCAAAATCTCATCCATTTTCAGTCATTTCTAATGTTTCCGCTGTGCGGAGAGAAACCTGTAACGAGCAAGTTCTGCAATTCGATTAAAAAATGTTAGCCCATTAAAAAATGTTAAACGACAGAGGGCAGAGGTCTAGCATCCGCCTTTGTTCTTTGTAAATAGAAAATCTGTGAAGGAGGAAAATGCAAATTTTGTTTTAAGTACGTCTACTCAAACTTCTTCTGACAGTGAGATTCTTTTTATAATAATAATAAATATGACATACACTTCTCAAAATAATTAAGGGATCAAAAAAATTGTCCAACAAATAGACAAATTTTAAATAGTTGTAACTTTGTTTCAAAAAATAATGATTTAAATTTTAAAAAGTGTTTTAAACATAGAAATCTCTACTTTTAAAAGGTCATAGCTTTTTGCATTTTCTTCAATTCTGATATTATTTACATACAGAAAACGACGAACATAACGAAATAGAAAATTTTCTTCTCACTTTGTAAGCGTGTCACATTGTTTCGACACAATAATGTAATAAAATTATATCCATTTTAAGATCACGTTGTATCGTCATGTTTAGTAATATTCGCTTCTAAAATTTAGTAAAGTCACGAACGGTAAATTCGAACGTCAAGCAAATATTGTCTGTAAATGTTATCGAGTTAAATTCTATGGATACTGTTCTCCGCGTTCTTATTTGCGCACCTTTTTGTTGTTTTCGCGCCGACTTCGCGTTCGTATTACAAAGGAGTCATGTGTCCTCTACATTTCTGTGTACACTCTCTCTTTATCTGTACATTAGATATTATAAATCTATCAAAACTGTTCCCCCTCTTCATACCTGTTTGTCAAAATTCACGGCTTGCCGTCTGCGGACGAGTCAGTCGTCTCTCAGCGTTCGTAAAGAATAAATCGATATCCACGACAAGTTCTCCTCTAATTACTTTCCTAACAATCTCAAGAGTTCGACGTCGCCAGTGCCGGATCACGCGTATCTCTCAACATTGTTTGGTCCTTCGAGCCGGATTCGCGGATCGCGGGCGTAGTTTCGCGCTCTCTTTTAACCGAAATTCTCGAGATTTACGTAACTCTCGGAAAGTGAGTCGTCGCGTTTATCGATTCTCTATCTCTCACAGCTACTCGCATTTTTCTATACCGCGCGTGACAATAGTGTTGAATATCTCTCACCGCGATCAAAGGTGACACATCAATCTCGTTCACAGTGCAGCTGTGAATGTGTGCATTGACTCTCGAACTTCTCATCATCTATAATCGGCAGGATGACTCTCGAAGCCCTTCTCGATTGCCAGAATGAAGTTTTCGGCCTTATCGCTCGCGCTTGCGAGAACCTACAAAAGCTTGGTCCTTCGAGGACCACCCGTGGTGCGGTGCAAAGTCGCTTAACAATTTTAAAGGCAAATTGGGAAAAATTCCAGGCTCAACACGAAAATCTATACAAGCTGAAATCGTCAGAATTAAAGAAGCTGGACTACGTTGTCGATAGGATCTACGAGCAATGCGAAGAGAAATTTGCCGAAGCGCAAGGCACTATGCTCACTATCCTCGACAGTTTTGAACCACCTCAACAGAATACATCAGCCGAAACTTTTATGAACTCATCGTCCGCATCTCATTCTCGACGTTTGCCTCGCATCGATTTACCGAAATTTAACGGCGAATATTCGCAGTGGAGTCATTTCAGAGATCTCTTTGCCTCTATGATCAACGCGAATACCAATTTCTCTGCTGTCGAAAAGCTTCACTATTTAAAGATGAGCCTATCGAATGAACCGGCTACTCTCTTGAAAGGCGTTGAGATATCAAGTGAAGGATTCAATCGCGCATGGGATACTCTCATTGACCGTTACGACAACAAGCGTATCCTGATAGAGGCTCAGCTCTCCGCTCTGTTTTCGATTCGCAAGGCGAAATCCGAATGTGCATCGGAAGTGAAACGCCTTCTCTGCGAATTGAAGGAAGCAATCGGAGCCCTCGCTACATTGGGCTGCCCAGTTCATCACTGGGACATCATTCTCACCTTTATGACAGTGCGCAAACTAGATGTCGAATCTGTTAAGGAGTGGGAAAAATCACTCGGAGCCACATCGCAACCACCATCGTTCGCCGACTTCGAGAAATTTCTTCTCGGTCGTATTCTCACTCTCGAAGCCTTCGAACGAACAACGAATTCTCGGAAACAAAACGCAAATGCACCTCGATCTCTAGCTCACGCTCGGGCATATACCGCTACTGTGACTGATCAAAAGTGTGCGTTGTGTTCATCGGGACATTACATTGCCTCGTGTCCAAAGTATCTCGAAAAGACACCCATGCAGCGAAAGGAAGTAATAATTTCGAAAAATCTCTGCTTTAATTGTCTCGGGCCTCATCAAATAAAATCATGCCGCTCAACAAAACGCTGTCGTCTCTGCCACAAGCAACATCACTCCACGTTACATTATCAAGCCGGTAACGCAGCGATCGGTGCATCAGCTGCACACTCAGACTCGTCGACGCCTGTCGTCAAGACAATCACATCGTCTCCGCCGGCAATTCATACTGCAGGTATTCCGCCACACGAATCTGTTGCTCCTCTACGGAATACCGAGCAAATCTCAAACTCCGTGACATCAAGTCACGTCGCTCAATCGCGGATAATCCGTCGCACTCCGGTTCTATTAGCCACAGCTCTCGTAAACGTAGTGTCATCAACCGGAGATATCTATCAAGTGCGCGCTCTTATCGATCAAGGATCGGAAGTCTCGTTTGTCTCGGAATCGGTCGCCCAATTATTAAAACTCTCGCGTCAAGCGGCGGCTATTCCGATTCTCGGCATCGGAGCTCATCGCTCAAGCATATCAAACGGACTCGTCTGTCTCAAAGTGATATCTCAAGTGCATAAAGACAGTTCTCTCGAAGTCGATGCTCTCGTACTGCCGAAATTAACGTCCTATCTGCCTCCCGCGCGTGTCGAATATACTCAGTGGCCGCACATACAAGGTCTCGAGCTCGCGGATCCAAACTTCGCCACGCCCGAAAAAATCGATCTCATACTAAGTGTAACGGTGCACGCTCAAATACTCAAAGACGGTATTCGTCGAGGAAATATCGGCGAACCCATCGCTCAAGAAACGACTCTCGGATGGGTGCTATCAGGGCCCCTCTCAAATGATAATTCGAAGACCAACGCCATGGAAAACAACTCAATCATCGGTCTTCAGTGCTTTCTCGACTCTGAGCTCCTGGAGCTCCTTCAACGCTTCTGGACACAAGAAGAAATCGCGCCTGCCTCTCAAATCTCAATGTCTCCAGAAGAATCTCAGTGCGAAGAACATTTCAAAATGACTCATTCTCGCGACGTCAACGGACGATTTGTTGTACGCTTGCCTCTCAAGAAGAGTGTTAGTGAATTTGGTGACTCTCGCTCTATCGCACTCAAGGCGTTGTATCGCATGGAAAAACGATTCGAATCGAATCCATCGCTCAAAATCCAGTATATCGACTTTTTACGTGAGTATCGTTCTCTCGATCACATGCGTCCCGTCGCATCAAACCGCGCTCAATCTCGCGAGTTTTTTCTACCGCATCACGGTGTTACGCGTGAAACTAGCACGACAACAAAACTGCGCGTCGTGTTTAACGGATCGCAAAAAACAAATCTCGGCTTGTCGTTAAATGAGTGTCTCCTTGTCGGGCCGAAACTACAAACGGATCTCGCGGACATCCTCATCCGTTGGCGACGGCATCGATACGTGTTCGCGGCCGATATCGAAAAAATGTATCGGCAGATTCGCGTGCACGAGGATGATTGGCCGTTACAGAAAATTCTTTGGCGGGACTTTCTCGACGAAAGGCCTCAAGAATATGCATTGTGTACCGTAACGTACGGCCTCGCGTGTGCTCCATATCTCGCGCTACGCTGTTTACGGCAACTCGCTCTCGATTACGATTCGACTCGCCCTCACGCTGCCGAAACTCTTCGTCGCGACACATACATCGATGATATTCTCTCCGGCGACGAAAGCATCTCTCAGGCGAAAAAAAAATTCGCAACTAAGAACCACTCTCACGGCGGGCGGCTTTACGCTCCGAAAATGGATCGCTAACGACTCAAATCTGCTCGACGATATCCCTGCCTGCGATCGCGAAACATCTCCTACGCTCTCGGTCAACGACAGTGCGATACATCATACTCTCGGTGTGCGTTGGGAACGCCAATCAGACAGTTTCGTGTTTTCTCCGCCGTCGGTCACGATCTCGAAAAATCGCGTTACAAAACGCTCAGTGCTATCGCTTATCGCACGCATGTTTGATCCACTCGGATGGATTACGCCTATCACAGTTACCGCAAAGCTGTTCATGCAAGAACTGTGGGCCATACGTCTCGACTGGGACGACGAACTCCCGGAAGATTTAAAGTCACGATGGACAAGCTACGTCGCTCAACTCACATGCATCTCTCGTCTCGCTATCTCGCGTTGGTTTGGAACAAGTGCTTCGAATCTCGCCGTGGAAGTGCACGGTTTCGCGGACGCATCTCAAAGTGCACTCGCCGCGGTCGTTTATCTCCGCGTTCTCAGTGACATCGACGACGCTCAAATAAAACTCATTTGCTCAAAGACTAAAGTTGCCCCTCTCAAACGAATGACTATACCGCGTCTCGAACTCTCAGCCGCAGTGCTGCTCGTGCGTCAAGTTCTCAAAATTCGCGAAGTGCTTGAACTACAAACCGCGCCAACCCATCTCTGGACCGATTCGACGGTCGCTCTTACGTGGATCAAAAGTCATCCATCCCGGTGGAAAGACTTCGTACGGAATCGTGTCTCTTTTATTCAAGAGCTCTCAAACTCTAGATGCATCACGTCTCCGGGAAGGAGAATCCCGCTGATCTAGCATCACGAGGCGTGACTCCTCAACGTCTTCAACAAAACGAACTCTGGTGGACCGGTCCTCATTGGTTACATACGCATTCGACATCTTGGCCGTCTTCAATTCCGATTCTCGAGTCTACGGACAACCTCGAAGAACGGCCTCCGCAGTGTACAACTGCAGTGGAAAATCATGAACATAAACTTTCGATGCTCGATCGATACTCATCGCTGACGACCCTCATCAGAACTACCGCCTGGGTCCAGCGTGCTCTTCAACTCTTTCGGAAATCTGTCGCATCACGCTCATCTCACGAGCCTCTCACCGTCGAAGAGTTGGAATCAGCGCTAATGCTGTGGGTTAAACTCACGCAGCAAATTTACTTCTCATCCGAAATCAAAACCTTGAAGAGCCAACGATCACTCTCAACCTCGAGCTCTCTCTATCGTCTAACGCCATTCCTCGACAGCGAAGGACTTTTGCGTTTACGCGGACGTTTATTCCGGTCACAACTAGATCCAGAAGAAAAACATCCTCTGATCTTACCTCGAAAATGTCGATTATCCATTCTCGTGATGGATCATCATTATCGAAAGACTCTCCACGGCGGACCGCAGTTAACGTTATCATCGATTCGTCAAAGGTTTTGGATTATCGGCGGTCGCGTTCCTATCAGAGCATTCATCCACAAGTGCGTGATTTGTGCTCGTCATCGTGCTACTACTGGTCAACAAGCTGTAGGACAGCTTCCAGCATCACGAGTCGTTCCGCGCCGACCGTTCTTCAACTCTGGAGTCAATTATGCCGGGCCACTGACTCTCAAAACTTTTCGCGGACGAGGCTGCAGAACGTACAAGGGATATTTCGTCATTTTCGTTTGTTTCAGTACGTCTGCGATACATCTGGAAGTCGCGACTGACTATTCTACGGACGGCTTTCTGGCGGCGTTCAGGCGATTTACCGGACGGCGAGGCATATGCTCTACTCTGACTAGTGATTGTGGCACGAATTTGATCGGTGCCGACGCAGAACTCAAACGAATGTTCACGGCATCTTCTCGCGAGTGGGCTCACATCGCTAACATTCTCGCAAATGACGGAGTGAAGTGAAGTTTTAATCCACCCTCCGCCCCCCATTTTGGAGGAAAATGGGAAGCTGGGGTGAAATCCGTCAAATTTCACTTGCGGCAAGTTCTCGGCGACGCTCGCCTCACCTATGAAGAACTGACAACGCTCTTAGTGCAAATCGAGGCGATTCTGAACTCTCGCCCGCTCACTGCACTCTCAGATGATCCGTCGGACCCTACCGCTCTCACGCCTGGGCACTTTCTCGTCGGGTCCACTCTCGCTACCGTGCCGGAACCTTCGCTTCAAGAGGTACTTCAAAACCGGTTGTCACGTTGGCAACTATTGCAATGTATGAAGGAATCATTCTGGCAACGATGGTCGTCAGAATATTTACAGCAGCTACAGACTACCTCGAAACAATATCGACCTCAAGATGCCTTTCGAAAAGGCGCTCTTGTTCTAATCAAGGACGAACGATTTCCTCCAACTAAGTGGCCTCTCGCACGCATTACTGACGTGCACCCTGGAGTCGACGGACTTATTCGAGTCGCCACAGTGAAAACAGCTACCTCAAGTTTTAAGAGACCTATAGTGAAATTGTGTTTGCTGCCGATCGAAAATCAATAGACTAGACAAATACTCTGCGCTAACCGCTCGTATATCTTAATTCGATACTTTGTCTACTACGAGTAGACAAGGCGGGCGGAATGTTTTGACACAATAATGTAATAAAATTATATCCATTTTAAGATCACGTTGTATCGTCATGTTTAGTAATATTCGCTTCTAAAATTTAGTAAAGTCACGAACGGTAAATTCGAACGTCAAGCAAATATTGTCTGTAAATGTTATCGAGTTAAATTCTATGGATACTGTTCTCCGCGTTCTTATTTGCGCACCTTTTTGTTGTTTTCGCGCCGACTTCGCGTTCGTATTACAAAGGAGTCATGTGTCCTCTACATTTCTGTGTACATTCTCTCTTTATCTGTACATTAGATATTATAAATCTATCAAAACTGTTCCCCCTCTTCATACCTGTTTGTCAAAATTCACGGCTTGCCGTCTGCGGACGAGTCAGTCGTCTCTCAGCGTTCGTAAAGAATAAATCGATATCCACGACAAGTTCTCCTCTAATTACTTTCCTAACAATCTCAAGAGTTCGACGTCGCCAGTGCCGGATCACGCGTATCTCTCAACACACATACATAAGAAGATTTGAAAAATTTTTTAAATTTTTATGTTAAAGGTAAAGTTTTCTCTGCAAAATTGTTTTTAAAATTTAAATTTCGATCTTTCCTTATCAAGTTATCGCAAATTGAAGAAAAAGTGTCATTTTTACTTTGATCGTTCATAACTCTATACGTTACGTATCATCCGGATAACTACTCGATCCTGAATGCGTTCTTGACTTTTTAGGTAGTAACCGCGGCTTCCGTTTAAGGCAATGATTCGTACAAAGTCACTAAGTTAACAATGCATATACGTGATATATCCGACCGTCCGGCGCAACAATGTTTGAGAGTAGGCGACTTAGTACAGCCGCCACACTATCTACTTTCAGAGCCAGACAGCCGAAAGAGGTGTTCGGTAAAACTCTAGATCTTATCCAGAATTAGATCCAAATAATTCATCTAGATCCTTATCTGAACGGGCACATCATCTGTAACGTGGCTCCATTGCGACACTCCATTAAAGTATAGTGCCTTTATTTTTTGAGGTATAACCTTGACTTGAGGCTCATGCCACTAATTGTATGTATGACCACTATAGCCACGTTATAGATAACTTTTGCTTTTCTCCGGCCAGCACTAACGTGTGCATAGCAGACAATGCTACAGCCGGAAAGGATGGTATTTTTCGTAATCTGCGTACGCTAGAAAAAACTGATCCAGATGAGGCATTTCACCGATCCAGCCATCTGTCACAAGATTATGTAAGCATTTCATTGTCGCACTCCCTTGTTTTGTAGGTCAAGCACCTGCTCTTCGTCGACATCTACTGATAAGTTTTTCCGCCAAAAAAGACCCTGTCATTCACATTTGAATTCTATTGTTATTCAATCAATGATGTTTGTTACAAGCTAATAAATACAAAGAAATGAATCTTGCTCAATTTAGCGCTACAGCCGTTCTCCTCCTAAATCTTTTTAAAATGCAGATCTGATAAAATATTATCTGATGTCGAACCATTGTAATTGAGAGTCACGTCATAATAAATTATTATAATGTAACTATATTATTATTATACAGGGTGTCCCAGAATTCACGGACACAAAAAGCGTGATTGTCCGTACAAAAAAAAAATATTTTTTCGGAAAAATTTAATGTAAACACTATTTTTTAAATCAGAGTTACTTAAAGCTAATAAATAAGAATAATATATGATATTTTAAATCGGCATAGAGTCCAAGTGCGAAAAATTAATTTTTTGAAACAATGATAAATTATTAAATTAAGGCCATGTGTAACGAGCAATACGATATTATTTTATTATTGAGAAGAAAATTCTTAATTTGAAATAATAATTATACAAACGTTTCGAGCTCTACTTGCTCCTCTTCAGTGCGCAAAAAAATAGTGATAATAAATAACGATAATAAATAAATACATAAAATTCTAAAAAAAAATCCGCAATACATAGTCAATATAAGTTATATAGTTGAGTCATAGTTAAAACGCAAAATATATTTACAATGAATTGAGACCATTAATTTTTTGAAACTGTATCTCTTGGTTTGAGATTACTAAGTTCCATATATAAATTAATCTCAAACTTACATATGGAGAAAATAGGCGAGAAAAATATAGGTCTAAAAAGTCGCTGAAGCGAGAATTTTCGGATTTTTATTTAACATATTTCCCATAATGTAAAATTTCTGGAGCAAACCAAACAAAATCATGACCATTATTTAATTGATAATTGAAATTATGATATTTATAATAAATATCGCCATTTTGAATGCAACTTACTTAACAACAGAATTTGTTCTAATTAATATCGACGCAATAATAATAATAACAATCAGACGGGGGAAGAGCCTATTGTTTATCAAAGCACCGTCTAAAGCGCACAAAGTCCATTATACTGCCCCGACCAAAAACAGCCTCTAGCTGAGAACCACCCTCTCTCAAAAGTGGAAATGGTTCCCAACCGAGAGGCTGCTTATCTACTGCGACCTCAAAAAGATTGATCCCAGCAGATCAAATCTCGCCTTTGCATATGCCGGGCAGTCACACAGTACATGGAGACTAGTTTTCTCCAGTGCATCCCCTACAATTAGGTTTAATGCTGAATCCCAGCCTGTGCGGATGATAGTTGAAAGTGCCGTACCCAGTTAGTAAACACGTCACCAGCTCGGCTTCTCTTCTGCTCAGTGTCTTAATTAATGTCCGCAGCAAAGCCCCTGCTCGGTGAATTTCCGAGCATCGCCTTTGACTAGGCCCGCAGTTAGCGACCGATCTCCTTTCTGCCTAAGCAGTAAGGAACACTGGTCGCCGGTTCCAAACCCACCATCTAAACTAGCCTTTGCCAGATAATCAGCTGCCTCATTGCCTCTGATACCAGAGATAACAGGCACTCAAACCAGAGCAACCTTATTGCTCCTTGCCAGATCCTTCAAGATCGCTCTGCAATCCCATACCAGTTTGGAGTTAAAGGTCGATGAGTCAAGAGCCCTAAGAGCCGCTTGACTATCTGAACAGATGATGTGCTTTTTTCTAGTCTAGTTGGCAAGAAGGTTTTGAGCACAGCACATGATTGCCATCATTTCCGCTTGGAAAACGGTGGAAAACCTTCCGAGTGGGATCGAATAGCTGATCTCTTTTCCTCGATAATAGATGCCCGCCCCAGAGCCCGAGCTGGTCATGGAGCCATCTGTAAAAAGGACGGCCCCACTACCTAGCTTCGGATCCTACGGTCTGAACCACTCTTTACACTGCGGAAAACAAACTTTATAGGTAGCTTTCGATGTGTGTTTGACCGACATCCTATCTTGCGGCATTCGGAAAATGGGGTCGCAAAGTGTGTTGTCGCGGAACTTGGTGTGCCTGGTACCAGCCCTTCATTTCGCACCGGAGTCTATGCGCCGCCAGTGAGGCGATAGCTATGATCGAGAAATGGAAGGTTTCCACATCGAGTAAAATCCCCATCACAGCCACAGGAGTAGTCCTGATTGCACTCAGGGCTCCCTTGAGAATGACTTCTCCGGATTAATCCGCAACTAATTTCTTGTCCCAACATCATAATAAAAACTCAAAGGTTTTATAAAACCTACATCAAGAGATTGTAAACGATACGTTGTGTGAGAAAAAAAAATAATAACAACTCCATTATCTCAGGCTTTATTGATTAATTCAATAATTTTCACGTGAGTTGCATGACCATCAAGCAATAAAAAAACTAGATTATTTTTTGAAGCATTTGAAAATTGTATAAAACGATCAAACCATTAAAAAAAGATATCAGCTTGCATCCAATCTGACTTATCAACTTCTACTCGAACTCCTGGGAAAACGTTATTATTAATCAAAGGATTTATTATCACGCGAATAAAAATAAATATAGGTAGCATATAGCTGCCAGAGGCCAAAAAACGTAAGATGAGCATACACGGGATCCAGTCAACCAGCCTGTCCGGGACATCCCGTCGCAACGCTTCTCTACAGATTACCTCTAGTGATGTGTTGTTGAAAGCACTTACGATGTCGAGAATGGTCCCTACAGCAAAACTTCCTGTCTCAAACTGACTTTCAATATAGGATACAAGCGGGTGAAGTGCTGTGTCTGTAGAGTGTCCCGCTCTGTATGCATGCTGGTTTACGTGCAGCGGGTGCCGCCCGAGAATCGTATCTCTTAGGTAGACGTCGATCAGCTTTTCTAGTGTTTTTAGGAAAAAAGACGTCAAACTGATCAGTCCATAATTCTCGACTGAGGAGCAATATATTCTTCCTATTTTAGGAATAAAACTACCCTTGCCAGTTTCCAAGCTTTGACAAAATGGCTCAAAGCAAGACAAGCTCTCAAGGTCCGCGTTAATGTTCCGA